AATAATGTAGTTGTACACAGAAACAGACAGTTATATAGTTCAATATTTTTTTAATTTTTCATTTTAAAGAATTTCAAAAATGTTGTCAAACAGTGTATGAGCGTATTTATAGAAATGCGCAATAAACATTTCTAATGCTAGAGATGATGTCTATTGATTAAGTTATTTCTGAGAAAAACCTTAATTCAATAATTGATATCACAAATTTAGATCAATATTGTTCAGTCTAAAAAAGAGAGAAATGTTTACTCTCATTTAGAGTAGACATTAAACATAATATAGAATATTTCACAATGATCTTAGTTTTATAGTACGCATTGAACGACACAATGTTGTAATGTATATATTGGATTCAAACGAAAGTTTTATTTTTCTATCTATAGAAGTGAACCTTATATAGATCAATCGGTCATTAACCTTTAAGGTAAAATAGACAGTAGTCTATAAATAATAAGTAATCTAAATAAGTAGTTAATAAGCAAGGTTATTGATTAATGTGTTATGGAACACGTATACACACAGAAAAGGATAGTATATGAATGCTCATCCAAATGGCAGTGTCTAATCAATAAAAGTTATCAACTAGTTCAGCTGATAAACGTTGAAGAAAAACCTAAAACTGAATGACTATTTTTATCTGGCAATCTGTACATAAGAATAATACTATTGATTGGTTAATTGTATCACTACTTCCAATAAGACTGAAACAAAATATCTTTGATTATTGCCTATTTTCTAAAAGTAAAGATTGTACATAACATGCTGTATATTTACAGCATTTTCAATACAATCAGAACTTCTAGTCTGAGCCATGTTGGTAGATGCAGACTACTTGGTTGGGGTCGACGTGACTATCGTAACCGATGGTTGGAGACTCTGGGTGACATGGATCAGAATCGATCACAAGGGACCGATGTACATATTTGCCTGGTTCTACGTTGTAGCTGACTGATTTGTTTGAAGTTTATAAGATAACCACTGTTTTAAAGAAAGTTTAAAACATTAGAAATCAAATGAAATAAGTGTTAATTTTAAAAAGTGAAAACTGCCTTGGATGTTGAACTTAACTGAAGACAAAAATGATATACTCGTGTTTTCTAGAATTCCCAAGATGGTTTTATTGATTTCTTTCCGAATGAACTTCTGTCTTAGTCCCTCTATGTCATGACTAATTATTTACATACTCTTGTATGCATTTAAGTAACTACATTTAAACTTATAAGTTTCAATGGATGTATGGGGTTACTTTACTTTCCCGTTACTGAATATTCGATTACAGTATCAAGATATTGAATCGTTCTGCTTACTGAGACTGACCTCTTCTCTACAAACAATTCAACATTATATATATATATATATATATATATATATATATATATATATATATATATATATATATATATATATATATATAATTTATAGTGCAGATTTACGCCTAGTCTGTATTCGCTCATATAGTTTTAAGTTGAACGTATTAACTTCGTGACTAGGAAAGTTTATGGCTAAAATTTTCTCATTCATGATTGTTTTTTTTAATGAAGTAACATTAAAATACATCTAACTACTGATCAATAAAACAAGATTCAAGATAGTATCTAGTCAATCTTAATATGTCAGCTGACTTCGATTATAAACAAGCAAAATATAACTAGTTTTAATGAAAAGAAGACACCTCAAAATCGATAAAAATATGAGTTGTGTAATCGATATTTAATAAAGTAAACTCACAGTGATAATGATAGCAATAAAACCAGTGTAGACAAACGAAATAAAACAAATAACTATTCATATCTTAAAGTATAATGGTAACATTTATTTCATATAATTGTGCAAACAGCACAGAGTCCTAATCGATGAAAGGATTTCGAAATGAAGTACTCTGGCCATAGGGTATCAATATTCATATAGATTTAACCACATTCTGTAAGTCCATAAAGAACATATTTTACGAAGATTACTGACATATAAGATTTTGGATACTGTTTAATATTAAAAGGAATAATGAGTGGTGATTTGCAGCTCAGATGGGTGATTTGGGTGGAGTTTTGTTCTCTTAGCTGGATGGTTTGGTCGTGGAATTATTCTGAACGACATCATCAACACAAACTTCAGGTAGAAGTAAAGTGTTCGAATTTCTCCACACATGGTTCATAGCTTATACTGTAGACCTCGAAAAAAACTCCACCAGAATGATGAATGTATAACAGCATATTTAATAGAGAAACTTTCACGAACGTTATCATCAAGTCCGTTAGTCTTTGGCTACTTAAGTAAATATGTGCTTTCAAGTCAATCAGAAGTCTAAAATACCGTTGCAAACTGAGACTTCACTGTAAGTGATTCGTAGAAACTGAACGTATTCAGTCGTGTACTTCGTAAATACCTTCCAAATTAACGAAAACCAACCATAAAAGTATTATAACTAATGAAAATCGTTAAATAGTGGACGACGACATAATCTGTCTACAAAATTCTTAATTGCGAACAGGATTTATTGTCTTTACTATGTGTAAACCTAAACAGTATGATTTTATTCTAACAATTTATTAGGGAAACATTCAGAAATATTTGTTTGTTTTTAAGTTAGAGTAATTTTCTAAGTAATAAGAAACGTAGTGTTCCTCTACAACTCCACATTCATATAGCAATACTTTCTTTATAAATATACTGAATCAATTTTGGTTCTGAAGTTCATAAAACAATCAAAACAAAAGATATTGCTTCAATGGATTAGAAAAGCATTTCGCACAATGACTACATATATTAACCAATGATTAAACTTATTATATCGAAGATCGTTCTGTTAAATATTAAGTGGTTTAGGTCATGTGCACCTAATTTAGAGTTTTATATATTGAGAGGTAATCGATAATATTAAACATGTTACTAGTGATTTAGCATAGTACTTGGTTGATAAATCAAATCTGCAGTAAAAATAGTACAGCATGATGATATTTATTACTAACACTAATAAAAAGGATTCGAATCAAACCTATGAGAACATCAACACTGGGTAGGAGGTAGGTTCACCTGACGAGTACAACACTAGATGAAATGTGCACCATGTATCCCACCACTAGACACAATCTATCCATTCTATAAATTGTTGCTACCATTGAAACATCAATCCATTTGTACAACAGATTAGCCTCAACTGAGTATAAAATTATTGACTAACATAAGATGATGCCAATTTAAATCTATGACGAATCAGTAGATTATTCAAGAGTTTTAAGTACATCTATGTGTTTAATATTTCAGTGAGTATGTAATCAAGTTCAATCAAATATTGTTACCATTAATGTCTAAGAAGAACGAGGATAAATTCAGTAGAATAATCATTGAAAGCATTCGTTGTTGAGGAAATTTAACGACTCTGAAAATGACCTCTAGGAAACTAAGACAAGATTTAACCGGTCAAGATGCAAGCGGTATTGATGAATAAATTGCCACGTAAACACCCAACAAAAAACCTAAGTCTATGAGTTGAGGTTTGAATGAGTAAATTATCTGTAGGCATAGTGATGAATACTCATGCAGAGGTTTTTTATTTTTCAATTTTAAGAGAATATAATTCACTTAAAAATTCATGCATCATATCAACACATCGTAAACATTTTGATGCTTCATGTTTCTCATAACTTTTTCCACAAAAAAAAACAATTACTTTCTTATCTTTATTATAAGGGCTGCAGAATCCCATCTTTGTTCTTCAGTTCTATCATGTTTATCAATTTTAAGCGTCTTATTTACTAAGTATTTTCAAACTTATCTGGTTTCTTACGTATCACTTAATAAGATACGAGAAATCCATCATTGTGTTTTGAATTTTGCGCAAAATCCGATGAGTTGGTTTGTAAACTATACTTTCACCCAATAATTTATGAATTGATATTGTAGAATTGATGAACAGTGTTACTTTGTTCTCATCATAGACTCAACTGAAAACAGGGAAATATTAAACGACTGTATTGTTGTCAATTGAAACTCTTAAAATAGTGTGTACTCACACCACTATGTTAAAATTGAAGCTGAAACTTTCATGCCTTGAAACAAACACAATACGTTGGTATCTAATGAATGGGTTATTTTTTGACACATAAAAAATTTCTATCATATGTTATTTACCAAAGTTGAGAATATTTTAATTACTTTTCTATTCTGTTGACATTTGGTACAAAGTATGGATGGTGGATGTAGTTTCAATAACAAAAACAGACCACCTGAAAAAAACAAACTTGGAATAATGATGTTTTTGGATAGTATTTTGTTGTTCAATCACTGGTGATATCAACTTTAAGTATTAGCGAAAGTATAAACGTGTATCAAAATAAGATTGAAAATGTGTAATTCATTCATAAATTCATAGATAATTATCTCCATGGATTTAGTAAGGGATAATTTACCTTGATTTGATACAGTATCATAGAATATTAACAGTGGACAATATTATTATAAATGACATAATCTCCCTATTTTACATCCATCAACTGATTAACAAGATTTTAATGAGACAGTCAACTTAACTAAGTATGATTATTCTGTATTGAAAGATCTATTTTGGGTGTAATTTGTTTAATAAGAAGCAGAAAATCAAAAGGCATTAGATTATTTCTTTAATTTTAATTCAATTCACTTTGATAACTAGGCATAACATTTGTCTATTCAACTATGAGGCATAATTTTTCTTAAGTGTCAATTATGATTGTTATTACTGTATTAGTTAAATCCAAGTAGGTGAAGCTGAATTAGGTATATACAAACTTGCAATCAACTCATGAGTAATAAACACAACTAGATGTCATCATTTTAATGGGGTATATCCATAAAATGTTATACTCCTAGTAGTTTATTTATTTTCGAATTTGATATCACGACCATACTTCAGTGGATATTGTTGAAGAATTAGACATAACAGTTAATCAGTACATTTCATATATTTCGAAGTCTCTTCAGTAATAATACAAATATAATATTAAGTTTTCTTCTTTTTTTTATAGAAAAAACAGGATTTTCCATAAACTTCAAGTTTTATATGACGGTGTAACTTGTCCTAATTTGGGTTAGTTAACCAGATATACTTACCTTAACCAGTGTGTTGTTGCTGTTTTCACATTGAACTATTCGAGTTTATTTATCATTGCCTTAAACACCAAGATATTATTGTATTAAGATACATAATTATGTTGAACCATCAACGGGAATGATAATTATTACTAACACTAAAGTTTTGTACTTTCCTGTTGTTGATATTGAAGACTTTGATGATGGTGATGATGTATCCATGTGATGAGTTTTAAGTAGAATGGAATGCATTTTTTAAAATTTCACTTTTAAACACTCTTTAAAAACCTACAAACAACTTGTAGTAAAGTTCGGTACTTATTCAAGTATTTTATAATAACAAACAGAAACTGAATAAATCTGATCATGAATATATCAAAAATAGATAAATAACATAATTTACATACACCAGTGCTATAGAATGTTTTCTTTTCTTTTTCTAAAAAGGCTGATATTAACTACACATAATACAATTTACAGTTTACTGCTTAAAATAAAAATAACCAAATTTGGTTTACTTTCGTGAGATAATGTTAAATGGTATGTGAAAAGAAGTGTATTTATTTAGCATACAATAAACATACGTGCCGCCTACTATTTTTAATTATGTGAATTGTAAGTTATGAATAAGTGATTATGAAGTGAATCCTGTATGTGTATATATATATATATATATATATATATATATATATATATATTAATCAAAGAAATGACAGATGATATTTCTAAAGAGAAAAATAAACAAAACACACGTTTACAACCGATTATTTATTGATCTATTTAACTCATTAGTGATCGTACTCAATCAATAAGTTGTATGAATAGCAGTTACTGAGACTATATACATTTTATAATTAGTTAGTCAAATTAACTGGAGAACTATTGATAATTGTGGGGTTTTTTTCTCTGTAACAATACGAAATTTAACATGTTCTGTCATGTCTTTTGGTCTGTCTACCCACTTTTGGTGCTGAGGATATTTAGCTAATCCAGATTAAGACCTTGGTGCGATAGGCTGACCGACCTAATCTTGAGAAAAGTACGCGTGAGTCCGAAATGGGGTAAAGAGAAGAAAATTATTCTATCACCTGATTGGCTGACAAGCAGGCGAATGAGAGAAGACAAGACAACTGGAACACTCCTCGATCTATACCCGATATCCTGATTTCGGATTAGTGTAAAAAGGTACATGAATAAATAGGTGACTAACTCGATCACAACGTACAGTAATTATGAAAAATACAATTATGTCCAAAGCCAGGAATTAGCGTAGAAAATAGGGTGCAAAATATTATGTTTACATTACAATAGCTTCGGAACAGAAAAGGATATGGGAATGAATCATACATCGAACGAAAGCTTACGTTCTGTAGAATAGATTAGGGACAAAAATAAATGTTAGTGTTTTACAAGCTTTGAATAAAATGGAATAACGTCCCAAGAAAATAGCTTTCGTATTTTGTCAGGGCTTCTTGTTTCCCTGTTCACAACATGCTCATTATGTAATAATCAATTCATTTTGTTACATGAACCTTACTTATTTAAAAGTAATTCAAGCAAACAAAGAATCTTTAACATTCCAAATTTACAGAGAAAAGTGAATAACGAAATAGAAATCATAACAACAGTAGTCAAGAAAACTAGGACAAAGAGTTAGAGTGGATAAGCTATAACACGCAAACGAAAGACATTAAAAGATAAAGAGTAAGAAATCTATATTCATTACAAACACCGTTCATAAGCCATATCAGTTAATATGAACGAAAACTAATCACATTTGTATTTCGCTCATCAACTATGAATACTACAACACCCTATTGGATGTAAATCGACATAATGAATTGATATTGTCTTAGTTTAACGACTCTTAACGGTATTAAGCAATAAAAAGAGATTTGTCTATATTTAGTTATATTTATATAAAGTTAACATCGTTTACTCATTTGACAAGACAAACAATACTTAGGGAAATATGAGCTTAAATACTTGCAGTCTATATATACACTCCAATTTTAAGAGGGATGTTTCACACTTATAAAATGATACAAAATGAACTGCTATATCATAGATATTTAATTAAATAGGTATGGAAATATATATATACCTAAAATGATATTTAATGTTTTCATACAAGATTACGATGATGTTTTAGACTATCTATTAACAATAACCAATCATTTTCTTATTTACTGGTTACATGAAACATATTTTGTTGTGAGATTAATTTTAAGAAGTATGGTAGATAACTTAATCACTATGGAAGAAAAGATTACCTTAGTTTATATCTATAAGTACAATATTATAGATCTGATCACCGAAAGAACCAATCAATCTTATCTAAATGGTGACTAACATGCCTACTGATCATACAATACAAATATCAAGAATTTTAAGAACAGATTATAATACCACTTGTTTAAAATATTGGTTGACCTCTTAGCTTTGTTTTTGAAATCTTTATTAGTCGTGTTTCTGGTATACCAGTAATATCTTAATTGTTTCGACCAATCACTTTTGGAAGAAATAGGTAACATTGGAAATGTTCAAGCTGGTTAATCGATAGTTCAAAATCATGCGAAAAGTGCCTACATTGACATTTCATTATCTTAGTGCATGGTAAATTCTTTTTCTAAGCTACACACTTTCGCTACATTAATAATTGAGAAAAGCTTTAGTTCGTTTTTAATACTTTGGAAATCTATTCAGAATAGATGATAATATTCAATGACGAATACGTTTAGGCATACACTGGAATCACAACTTACTAGAGGGATCCCACCGATTGTTGAAGATGGCTGATGTACGTAGCGCAACATTTTTAGCTTAGCTCAACATATTTGCTTTCCTCTTTAGGAACTCGAAAAAAAGATTTATCATGATGTGAGGATACATTACGGAGGCACTAGTGTGTAGGCGTTGAAAGAGGTCCTAAATTGCTAATACATCTTAAAAATATCGATAACACTTTGTCTAATATTGATGTATCTTAGTGTTCATAAAAGTTTATGTGTTTCGCATCTGCTCTGTTAAAAAACTTGAACACTGTTTAAATGAGCTGAGCGCAGTGCTTAATGCCAAACGAGCTGACATCCACAGTAACAAGTTATTATGGATGGCAGAAAGAGTTGATAACCATTGATACTAACCGCTATTAATTGTTAATCCAACTTGACAGCATCAGTCAGTCAGCTACAACGTAGGTCCAGGCACATATATGCATCGGTCCAAGTTGCCATACCTCATTAACACAACAAGATGGACACCGGATTCATAAAAGTAGTTAATTCAGAGGTGGTAATATATAAAAGAAAGATTGCATATAAGGATACAGTACAGGAAGAAAGAATTAGTTAGTAGAAAGAAAGATATGAAGTGATTTTAATCTCTTAGTTTAAGGGAAGACAGGGAGTGTATACACCTACACCATTGTGATCGATTCTGAGCCATGTCACCCAGAGTTTCCAACCACTGGTTATGATAGTCGCGCGGACTCCAACCAAGTAGCCTGCACCTACTAGCATGGCTCAGACTAGAAGTTAGTGACTGATGCCACATTTTGGTTTGGCCGCCCCAAACCTTCTTCCAGCCATCCCGAACACCGGTTAGCATTGCACGTCGTGGTAATCGGTGTTCGGGCATACGTAACACGTGGCCCAACCATCTCAGTCGATGAAGATTAACAACCTTATCAACTGATTTACCATCATTCCCAAATACCCTGTGTCTAACCTCACTATTACTTACCCGGTGATCCCAGCAGACGCTAGCAATATTTCTGAGGCATCTGTGGTCAAATACTAGCAGCTTACGAGTGTCTTCTACTCTTAATGGCCATGTTTCGCAGCTGTAAATTAAAACAGAACGAACTGCCGCGCAGTATACTTGTCCTTTTATTGATAGACGGATATCTCGCCTTCGCCATAGGTGACGTAAGTTGGCAAAAGCCAAACAAGCTTTTCGAATCCGTGCTGAGATTTCGTCAGACACCAACCCATTAGGGCTGATCAGACTTCCAAGATAAGTGAAGTTGTCGACGCGTTCGACTACTTCACTCCCTATCCTTAGATCAGGTGTTGACGCAGACCAGTTCTGAAGCAACAACTTGCATTTAGAGGGAGAGAAGCGCATTCCAAATATTCTGGCATTGTTGCTTAGTGCTACCAGAAGGCTCTGAATTTTATCAGCGTCTTCTCCAAACAGGACTATATCATCTGCGTATTCTAAGTCCATAAGTGGACCTCCTGGAAGGAGATTAATACCCGGGAATTCAGTCGACGAGAATGTTATTTTCAGCAGTTGGTCTGTGATGAAGTTAAACAAAAATGAACATAGTGGACAGCCTTGACGGACACCACTTGCAGTTGCGACATCAGATGACGGTTCATCATAAGCTCTGACTCGACTGGTAGTGATCGAGTAAAGAGCATTCACAAGGTTTATGTACTTCTGAGGTACGCCTTTCAATGACAGACACTGCCACAGAATCTCGCGGTCTACCGAGTCAAATGCTGCTTTCAAGTCAACAAAATCTATCATTGTCGGACGCCGATAAGTATGCCTGTGTTCTAGAACCTGACGAATGGTGATTATGTGGTCGATGCAGCCACGACCAGGTCTGAGGTCAGACTGTTTTTCACATATTTGCAGTTCACGAGTCTTTGTTAAGCGTCCGATAATTATTGAGGTTAGTATTTTAGATACTATATTAGTCAAATTAATCCCTCTATGGTTGTCACAGGATGATTTTAACCCTCTCTTATATATTGGAGAGATAAGTGATTGTGACCAGTCAGATGGAATAACGTCTAACTTCCAGATCTTAGCTAAAATATTAGTCAACCTAATCGCTAAAATTGAACCATCATCCTGAAAGACCTCTGGAGCTAATCCATCTGGACCAGCTGCCCTTCCTCGTTTCAGATTAACTATAGCCTTTTGAACTTCAGCTAGAGTTGAGGGAACTACTTCAAAGTTCCGTTCACACTGTATGGGAATGGAGGGTAGTTGTAGAGTAGCTGAAGCTCAGCTGAATTGTTCCCTAAAATGTTCCGCCCATCGTTCTAAATGTCTGGACTGAGAGCAGATGAGGGTGTCGTCTTTTTCCGAAATAGTCTGACTTACACTTGACTTATTAATTCCAGTTTTTTTATTAGTCTGTAGAGCTGTCTTGTGTTCCCTATAGCCGCTGCCTTTTCTATCTTCTTTGCTTTCGTTGTCCACCACTGCTCACGGTCGTTCCTTAGACTTTTTCTTAACCAAGATCTGATTTGTTGTCGCACTTCATCATGTTCAGAACCTGATGGGACGAGTTTGCGAGAATCCATCAGTGTGATAGACCTTGAAGAAATCCATTGGTTCTTTGTAACTCTGTGGTTTAAATCACTAATAGATGTCACTGCTGTTTCCACAGCTGATTGTATGCCCTTCCAAGCAACATCTGGGTCAGCCTCGTCTTCACAATTACCTAAGTGTGACCTCAGTTGTTCCTGGAACCTACTTTTGGTTTTCTCGCGACTCAATTCAGTTCTAATGGGTCTTTTAACTGAGGCTTTTTTGCATCCAGTGAGGCGCAAGCAGATGCGTGCCCGTATTAGGGCGTGGTCGGAGTCCAAGCAGGTACTCCAGAATGAGCGACAATCTTCTACCGACCCTCTCCAACGATGACTGATGGCAATATGGTCTATTTGAGTCCATCGTTGGTTTGGTGTAGGGGGTCGCCATGTTAGACGATGTCTCTCCTTATGCTTAAAATTTGTGTTTGCTAAAAATAAACGATTGTCTGAGCACAGTTGCAGCACACGATCACCATTATCTGTTCGCTGAGCCGGAATACTAAAATACCCACCTAAATGCCTTTCTGTTTGGTTTAAACTACCTATCTGGGCATTAAAGTCACCTGATACGAGTACTATGTCTGAACGTTTAGCTTTCTGAAGAAGTTCAGATAGCTTTCTGCAAAATTCATCTTTCACTTCATCTGAGCTGCAGTCGGTGGGAGCGTAGGCAGAAACGACGAAAAGGCAACGACGTGTATCCCTATCCTTCCGAGTTCTTACGGAGCCGTTTAACCGAACAGCACATAAACGACTGTTAACGGGGATCTACTCTAACAGTGCTTGTTCCGCCTTCATGCTTAGTGCTATCCCTACTCCTGCCAGTCCACGAGAACTGGCCGTCGGGTCACCAGATACACAGAGGGTGTATCTCGTTGGCTCTCCGTCTTGACGGGGTGAGGTCAAGTGAATGACCACACTGGGATCCTGTATGCGTGTTTCGGAGACACAGCATACATCAATGGTACGAGATTCTAGGGTTCTAGCCAAGGAAGCCTGTTGACCGATTTGACATAGGGTGCGTACGTTGAAGGCTCCAATGTGTAGTTTGGAGCGAGGTTTCAGTAGACCTGGGACAGAGTTTTGAGCACTAGAAGAATTGGCTATGGTGACACCTGAAGGGGAAGCCGAAAAAGGAAGTTTGGAGGTGAAAGTCGATGTAGGAGGAATAATAGGAATTGAAGAGGAAAGTTGATTATGAATACAGTGGTCTTGGGTGCTGTTAGAGGTATGAGGGCGGTTATCACTTCTCAGTTGCCCACACCGTGGAAGGGTTCTTCTGGAGGTACCTGAAAAGGAAGTCGGATTAGAGGTGGTCTTAGTGACCTGGGAGCGTGACCGCAGTGCCCAAGGGACAACTGCTTGAGGTCAATGACACACGACCTTTTTATGGGTAATTTTTGTGTTAGCTCCGTACTTGTTGGGACCTTACCGCCGGAGACGGATATCCGAGATATGCATTTTTAAGGTCGACCTTTCATAACCCTACCACTCCTTATGGGAAGGCAGCATCGCCGTCATGCTGGTTGTCTGAAGGAAACACTTTACTGCTGTCACACCTCTGTACAGTCAGCAGTACGACTTCGCCTTCAAACCTTGGGTTTGTTGCTTTTAGTCTTACCGCTCTTCAACCGACCTGTCTGACATGGTAGGACCTTGAGGAACGGTTGTTCCAGCCAGTATAGCTCGGTTGCCTCATCACGATAGGCAAGCCCGACCACCACGTCAAGGTAGCAACAACGTTCAGCATTGAAAGAGTTGACTGATCCAATTCATCAACAATAGATTTAGAATAAATACTGCTTAATAAAGTGAATAATTTCCAACAACATAATGATCAACAGGGAACCACGAAAATAAATACATATGGCGTTTGACTTCTCTACACGTGTCAGGCTACCGTCTACTGCAGTTTATGAAGCTAGCAGAAATAGAATTACACTTTAAACAAATCTATATTCCGTTAAAACAAAGCAAATGATTTAGGTGACATACCATGGTCATTATTTAAATCGAATTTTAAAAAATCAATCCTGATGGCTATTGAGGACAACAACTAACATTCGGTGATTGATAAGTGATTATCACTACAACTCTTGAATAGACTAGCTCTACTGAATCCACCAGACATTGGAAGCTCTGGAAACGTCCAACTACCTGCTCAGTATCATCGATGAACACTGACAATCTGATGCAGACGTAAAGGCGAGGATCAGAAAAGCAAGAGCAGCATTTCTACAATTGAAGAACATATGGAAATCAAAACAACTGTCAACCAATTGCAAAGTCATAATCTTCAATATGAGTGTTAAGACAGTTCTACTGTATGGAGCTGAAACGTGGAGAACTAATACAACCATAATCAAAAGTGCACAAGTATTAACAAACCATTTACTACATAAGATACTTAATCTTCGTTGACCGGAAACCATCAGCAACAGCCTAGTATTGGGGGAGAGCAAACGAGCTCGCAGCTGAGGAAATTAGGAAACGATGATGGAAGTGGATAAGATATACATTGAGGAAATCATCAAAGTGCATCACGATACAAGCGCTAACTTGGAATCCTGAAAGGATACGGAAAAGAAAAATGCCGAAGAACACACTACGTCGGAATCATACAAGAAAATAATGAATAGCAGCTGGAAAGGATTGCCGAGGACAGAATCGCCTATGCTCCTCCACGAGGGATAACAGGCGTAAGTAATGAAAACAGTAAGGAAGAAACAGTAGGAATTGAGTTTTTTTACATCACTAGCCTGAGTTATTATTTTTTTAAAAACAACAACATTCAAATGGTAGAAAAGAGCTCTATAATTATACAAATTAATAATGAAGAATAGCAAAACGAAAGTTATCAAATAGACAGTACATTCATTAGTACAAAAAAGGCACATAAATGATAAGATGTTTTTAAAATATGAAAAAAGAGAATAAAAAAAAATAACCTGAAAGAGGGAAGACCAAATCTACTCTTTACAAGCCTGAATTGATGCATTTAATTAAAAACTTATAATTGTTATGTAATAAGACAAGATATTTATTGTTAGAAAAAAACATACCAAAAATAGGAAAACAAGTTAATTACTTCTCTAGCTTCAGTTTAAAATCAAATGGATAATATGAAAAAAAAAATAGGTTCATTTCGAGAAAGGAATTCTCACTAAATCATTGCATAATGAATAAACCAAACTGTATAACATTTTAAGCTAACTAATTGTTATAAGGAAAATTATAAATTACTGAAATTAATACAAAGTTGATTAAAAAGATTAAGGAACATGATATAACTATTCTTTAGAATGTTGGTCTTTGTATACCTGTCACATATGTGTATACATAAACTAGATTCCATTTTATTCTGTCAATGAAAAAGCAAAAATTTGATTATATATATATATATATATATATATATATATATATATATATATATATATATATATATATATATATATATATATATATATAGATATAGATATAGATATAGGAGTACCGGGATTTGGCACACAAGAAGCAATATGGGTTATCTTAAAAGTAGTGTATAATACTTTTATCAAAAGTTAATAACATTTGTCAAAGTTGGATTCATCATCTACCAGACAATTTCCCACGAGATGAACCAAACGATGGTACTGTTGGCTTTCGAATGGTGGTAGTACTTCCCGAAGTACCAGATGGTAAACTGATTCTAGAAGGCACTGGTCTTTGTTGTACAGTTGATGATGCTGATGATTTAGGAAGGGACTTTGTAGAATTTGATGTTTGGTTTGTTTTGATATTGTTAGAAAAAACACTACTACCACTACTATGAATGCTGTTATTAGAGGATGGGTTATTTCTGAGTGAAGGTTGAGTTTTGTTTATTGGACGATCAAAAGAACTTTGTTCAGGTCCAGTTATACTAGTTTTACGAGAACCAACACGACTACTTATGCTCATTGAAGGCATTTTTTGAGATAGCATTGGAAGACGAGAAATACTTCCATTAGGAAGAGGGATCGATATTTTTGAAGGAATTTTTAAACCTGATTGTCTACTTGGTATTGTTTTGTTGTTGTTAACTGGTTTGGTAATAGATCGGATTGCCTGGGGACTTTGTAGGTATTTGACATTTGATGCAGAATCTGACAAATGGGGTATACTTTGTTCAAGACCCGGTTCATTTTTTGATACACTATTTATACCCGATTTTGTATCTTCATCATGTTTCGTAGGTAACGCAGAATCTGAATTGTTTTCTAACACAGTAACATAACTGCTTAACTCATAAGTATCAGGCTGGTGTTCATTTTTCTTAGGGTTCATCATTTCACCATTTGGACGAGAGATATGTGCTACACTGTTGCTTTCTTGTGTGGTACAATCATTTATGGTATTTACAGTACTATCTATACTGTCTATAATGGGTCTGAGATTTTTTAATTCATTCGTTTGTGATGTTGAATCACAGTCATATACGCGCTTGAAGTCTGGAGCATCGTATGTAGAATTTAATGGTTTAGAGGGTAAAGTCACAACATCTGTTTGATCCAAATTTGTACTCGAATGCACGTCCGCAATCACATTGACTTTAGGTTCACAATCAACTGAACTTGATAATGGGTTAAAACATCCCTTCGCTATAATAGTATGTTGACGCTCTGGCCTATCATTTGTATCCACGATTGCAATTTCTTCGTGACTGTGTGTTGCGCTAACCCCACAAGAACTTAAACCACTGCCTGATTTTTGCCCAATACTACCAGCGGCACTACTTTTATGTTTACGATGTTTCTCATCTCCAAAACTCGACTCAGTAAGTGAAGTGTTGGAACAATCTAATTTACTTCTACTACCACTGTGTTCACGTAAGTGAGTTTCCTGGAGACGAGCTAATTCAAACACATCTGAGCTTCGCATACTAGAGTAAGATGCGTTAAATTTCTCAGAAATTTTGCGACCTTTTGTAACTAATTCAGTTGCAGAATGCGACTGAGATATTTGGTTAACTCCAGATGAGATATCTAAACTTCTAGTTACATCTATATCACCTTCATTATCCGATATGGGCAGAGAAGTGGTTAATGCATGAGATCTAGAAAGTAGGGAAGGTACCTTAGGAACTGACTCATTGAGAGGGTAGTCATTTACCTCCTTCAGTAAATCCATTTGCTCCTTCGAGTAGGTCCGTGAAAGAACGGATTGTTTCTGACTACTAGGCTTTTGATATGGGCTACTAGTAGCGCCTGGAACAAGCAAAGTGTCATTAGGCTTTGATGAAATTCTGCGGTTACTAATATTAGGTGAAACATTATTATTCGGAGTCGCATGAGGAGAAGCAGGTCGTTGAGATCTGTGTAACTGAGGTAATCCTGAATACACGGCTTGGGAGAAAGGTGGTTTGGGTTTTTCGCAATACATAGCACTATCAACTTCTTGAGCTCTAGCATCAAAGACTTCACGTAAAGGTACCTTTTTATTGTTATTTTGTTTACGTAAAGCATATGTACCCTGTAAATTAGAATACTCTCCAATTGAGCTGTTTAAACTGCGGCGGAGATCTAACTGAGGATCAATGTTCTGTATATCGCGATTTGGATGTGACAGAAAATTTTTAAAATCCATAGAACCATTCACAGACAGCGTTGAATGGTATATTTGGCGATCACTATCATTTAATCCTACTTCATTAGGCGAATGTTTCCTCAGTGAGGCCTCTTCGATTAACCCTTTGATTTTCGCCAACTCATTTAATCGGTTCAAAAGATGATAGGAATTATTACAGAATTCTGGATCTCGATCAAATGGCGTACGATACCAAATTTTGCAACTGGCTTCAACATCTAAAATAGCACCTTCATCTCTGTTTCCATTTGAGTCTACTTCAATTGGACTACGTGATGGGTCTATCCACCAGTCGCCTCCACCACCTAGTCCCAGATGAGCTTCCAAAAAATTCAAATTTTCTTTATTTAAAACAGCAGGTAAAAGAAGCTCAAATGCATCATTGCAATTCTCTACTGATTGATCTTCTTCAATAACTAACGATGATGGTGCATTGATCGAAGATAAAACAATCTTGGTTTCTTCAGAGAATGCAAGATTTGATTGCATTTAAGTTCTGAAATGATCATATAAACAAAAACGAAGCAAATTAGTTGAACGAAGTAATTACACAGTCCACTAGCCATATAAACTATGGGACAAATATGCATCGACCCAAGTTGTGTAACTACATCAGTGGGTTGGAATGAAAATAAAATGAAAAACCAGGAAACCGGAATAAAATTTATACTAATGACAACAAAAGTAACTAAACATAAAGTATGTGGTGAGAAACAAAGAGAACGGATCCTATTATCATCTTTTCCAAAAATAATCTTAATGAATCCCGAATTTTTATTACCCCTGTATCTGATAATTCTGAAACGTCATCCAGTGTTATCAATCACGGCTGACTTTCTTTACCGCCTTTGCCTTAGCTACCTATCACTACTCATGATCTTTTATTAGTCTAAGTTTAAATTGCCTTAACTCCTTATCGTGTTCGAAGCCTGAAGGAAGGAGTTTCCAAGCACCGACCACTCCAGTAAACGCTGTTGAAACCGACTGACTTCCTAACCTTTCGGTTGTATTTACTGATATATATCACTGCTATTCTCACCGCTGTCTTGATATCATGCCAACTTAGATCGGAGTGAACATCACTTTGACGATTGACTAACTGCTTCTCTAAGTGTTAATGATAAGCTTTTGACTTTTTTGTGGTTTAAGTGAGCTTGAAAGGATTTTCTTTTTGTGCCTTTTCTATGTTTAGTAAGAAACAGACGAATACGTCTAAACATGTGCCCCAGAATGAGGAACAAACTCCTATGGAGTCTCTCCATCGATAGCTGATGTTGATATGGTCTATTTGCGTCTATCGTTGAGTTAATTGTGGAGATCACCATATCAAACGATATCTCTATTTATGCTTACATTTGGTGCTTGTTAAGAATAAACGGTTGTCTATGCATAGTTGCAGCAGTTGGTCGACATCATCTGTTCGTTCAACTGGATCACCGTAAGACTCACCTAAGTGTCTTTCTGATTTAAACTACCTACTTAAGCGTTAAAATCTCCTTCTGTAATTACGACATGCGAGTGTTAGACTTTTTATACTGGTTTTTTTAAAAACTTATCCTTCGCTTCATCCGAACTGTAATCAGTTAGAGCGTAGATACAGACGACAAAGAAGCAACGGCGTGTGTTCCTATTTGTAGGCGTTCTTACTTCTCCATTTGGTGGGACAGCACACCAGTGACTATCTATTGGGATTCAATCTACGAGAACTCGTTCAGCTTTGAACTTAGTGCTGCGCTCACACCAGTGAGGTTACGAGAGGTAGCAATCAAGACTTTAGATATATGTAGGGTAAATCGTGCTGGTTTTCCGTAATAGCTAGGTGAGGTCAAATAAATGACTACACCTGGATCTTATATATATATATATATATATATATATATATATATATATATATATATATATATATATATATATATATATATATATATATATATATATATATATATATGCAAGACACAACATACACCTATGGCACAGTATCCTGAAATCTTTGCTAAGGACGCCTGTTGGTCTAGTTGAATTAAGGTAGGAACATTGAAAGCTCCAATGTGTATTACACAGTGCGGTTTCAGGAGGCCAGGAATAACATCTCGCGAACTCGAATAGTTGGCGATGGTGGCGCATGGAGATAAAGTTATAGGAAAAAGGTTGGTTTAGGAGATGGAAGGAATATTAAGAGGCAGCGAAGAGAGTTGATAATGAACAAGAGGATTTTGATTACCGTTAGAGGTGTGATGGCGGTCTTCAATTCCCAGTTCCTTACACTATGGAATGATATTTCTTCCTGAGGGATCTGGGAAGGAAACTAGATTAGTAGTGGTCGTAGCAAACTGATACAAAAAATAATTGATATTTAAATCTACCCTGCTGAGAAACCGATGAAACATTTGGATTTCAACTGCGTGGTGCTATCTAGGCTTTAACCATTCATTGTGAATATGTTATCTCACTAACCACAATGAAAAGATATTTATAAACATACTCTAAGTATAACTTCTAATGTTGGAAAATGTTGTGTCAACGAGTGAGAATACGACAATATGATTAGCCTTACTAGTTATACAGAACAATTAGTAAAAGCAGCAGACATGAAGTTGCGAGATTTAATAATAGATATTTTAAAGGAGGACCAATTTCTAATGTATTACACGGATCAAAAATTTTCAGTGTTAGATGTTGACAATTTTAAAGGCTGGAAACTTGAAATTTTCAAAATAAGTAAAGTGCACGATGTGCGTCTTTAACTATAATTCACCTTAATGAGTAATAAAAGCGATTAAGTAGTTATATGAAGACTTCGAGGATAATAACATAGTACCAGTCCATGAAGCTATCGACTTTCAAACTACATCAAAATCATCCACCAGAGCTACAAATCTCCACCATCTCACTTTCAAACTAAGCTATATCAGTTGGTATCTACTTGCTGTTGTAACGTGAGAAATACTTCTAATTAATAGTTAGAGACACTAAGCGATATAACGCTAAATTTGTCGTAGTCGCATCTACTATACAATCTCAGTTAGTTCCTAGTTGTTCATTTCACTTATGCCGCTTGAACTGTGTTTCTCAAGATTGCATTTGTATAGCAGTTCAAACTAATCTCTTTGTTTTCATTTTCACTTAGTTAATTTTCTTTCTCATTGTGCTAGTTAGGTGTTATAGTCAGTCAGTTAGTCAGCTACAACGTAGGACCAGGCACATATGTACATCGGTCCAGGTTGCCAAACCGCATCAGCACAACAAGATGAACACCGGATTCATAGCAGTGGTTGGGTCAAAGGTGGTAATATATAAGAGAAAGATTGCATAGAGATAGGTGTTATAACTTGGGTCGATATGTATTTGTGACAGGTTTTACGTTGGTTTACCAACATGAGAATTTTAAAATATCCCATTAGATTTCTAGCAACTAATTGAGGTAATCTAGGCAGATCTAGGTGTTTCAGTATAATACCCTTAGATATATGAAAGTGATTATAGTCTTGATTTTATAGATCAGCGTGGTTAGAAGCAATCATTATATAGTTACTGTTTAGCGATTTCTTATTTAGTATTAACCTGTTGTTATTTCGACATGTCCATCAGTAATACTCCACTACAGTCTTTATAACGGTAAACGACGGTAATGAGAAATATAGAGAGGTCTCGTCATAGTTTGTAGCAATCATTTATTAGAACGCGTCAGATATTGTTCCATATATTCAGGAGGCTTTGATAACTCAGCCAATGAGTAACCTTTGAGTTAACTTTATTTTCCTGCTAATTAAATTATTTTCATAAGTAATTCAGACCTTCATTACATGTGCCTTATTAGTGGGACCCTTTATAATTCTGGACTTGCAAGCTATATATATGCTCGCATGTCTGTAACTGTCTACAGAGTCTCCTTAATCACGTTATCCATTGTTTGATTCGATATGGATTAATCCTTGTACGGCCCCCAAACGCCCTGGTATGGCCGAGAGTGGGGTGGGGGTGTTGTTTACTAAAATGAGAGGACGAAAAGCGAATGTTCGGCGCTTTAACCGGATCTCATACCAATGGTGCACATGGGCTCCAGTATCCTGGGGGGGAAATGGCGTATGAACCAATCGTTAGTCACCGGCTACCATGGGAGTGCATCTCCTCACGATGCTCCACTGCCTTGTGGGTCAGACTTTTAGGTCAAAGGCTCGGGGTGTGGCCCCCTAAGAAAACCACCTGTTTCGGTCTGAGCACCCAGGCAGTATCACAGCCCACACACAAATAAAATGAAAAGGATGATATTTACTGAAAATTCTGTTCTACCTTCCCGTTTCCACCATTATTATTATTACACTACCTTAAACTAATCTGGTCGTTATTTTTCTTTTTTTCTTTTATGCTCCTTACCTTCTTTTTTCTCTTGCCAATCTCATTGTTTGTGTGGCGCATATATATTTGGTGCCCTCTCGTACCAATATTTATGTGTTCAAATAAATAAATAAATAATCCTTGTACCGGGTATCGCTTTGAGTAAGGTAGGTTTTACCTTAGTTAACTTGTGTCTATATGCCTGGATTAACGGACGTAGAAAATATGTTTTCAAAACGCTCTCAAACTCGCCGATTATATTTCCTTATTCGATAAAGTGATTGTGTGGATGAATATAAGTATGGTTAATCACGGACACATATTTCGACGTTCCTCATGATACCAGCTGAAAACAGCTAAGGGAATTAAAAATCTGAAAAAATAAGGACTTCGAATGTAAGTCCTTTCGATACAAATAAGTTTCATATCGATAAGTAAAGCCAAATTCGCCTGTAGATCTTCTAGGGTTACTGCCGGTCCCAAACCCACACAAAGGAGGATGGTTGAGCATGGGGTCAGCAACCCTATCCCGTAGAAAACAACCTTGCTGAAAAGACTCTAACAAGAATAAACAAATCAAATCGTTTAAGCTCTGTAGTCTGAGTTGAACGATCTTCGTTCAGAAGAAATATGACGCCTCATGGTGAAAGCCCAGATTCACAAGATCGATGCCCCTTCTAACAACCAGGACAACAATTAATATAGGTATATAGAATGTTCGAACAATGTGGGAGATCGGAGGGAATAATCAAATAGCTGTGGAAATGAGAGGGAACAATATGGCGGCTCTCGGAATAAGTGAAAACCACTCGACCCAAACTGGACAGAAAAGATTAGATTCCGGAGAGATGCTGCCGCATTCTGATCACGAAGAAAAAACTCCTCACACTCAGGGAATCACACGGATGCTGTCCAAAAAAGCACGGAAGGAACCTGTTGGGTGGAGGAATCTCATGGACGCAGGATCATCAAAGCATTCTTTAAAACAGGGAGGAAGAAGGCGATGACAATGCATGTTATCCAATGTTATGATAGCAACGACAACGATCGGTTTTATGAGAGGCTACGACCAATCATAGCGAAGTGCCCGAGATAGGACCTAACCATACGGATGGGAGACCTAAACGCCAGTCACAATATACAACGACGAGTATGTGGATATCATGGGACAACATGGACTGACTAAGAGAAAGAAACAAAAATGGTGAGAAATTCGCAAATCTATGTGCATTCAACATATCGGTTACATGCGGCACAATATTCCACCACAAACACATACACAAAGCTATATGGGTCTCACCGGATCACACTACACAGAACTAGATCAATCATATTCGCATCATTGGGAAATCAGACGGTCAGTGGAAGAGGTGTGAACCAAGAAAGGAACTGACATAGCTTCGGATCACCACCTGGTGGTTGCCAACATGAAACTGAATCGAAGAGAGCACTTGACAACTGGAGAAACAATATTACGAAGGCTCAATACAGCCTTCCTTCGACACAATGACAAAACTCAATGAATTCAAGATAACTATCAACAACACGTAACAAACCATACAGGATCTAGTGAAAGAAGAGACTACCATGGAGAACGATTGGAAAGGGGCTAAAGAAGTACTAACTTCAAAGTATCAGGTGCTGGGCTGCAACAGGCATCATCATAAGGAATGGATCTCTATCGAAACCCTGGACAAGATTCGAGAGAGGAAGAACAAGAAGACAGAAATTAACAACAGTCGAAAAAGAACAGAGAAAGTCAAGGCACAGAACGTATAAACAGAAACAAACAAGCAAGTGGAGAAGACCACTAGTGCAGAAATATGTGGAAGACCGAGCAACGACAGAGGAAAGGTTTCAGGAGAAGGAAGTATGAGACAGCTATATGACAAAACGAAAAAACTGGCAGGAAATGTGGTAAAGGAGAGAGAAAAGTCAGGGACAAAGAAGGTAAGAAAATCAACGAGACTCAAGAACAGAGGAAAAGATGGGTAGAACACTCCGAGGCTTTTTTGGGCAGGCCAGCTCCATTGAATCCACCGAACATTGAAGCAGCACACACGGACCTTCGTATGACTGTCACCCTACCAATAATTGAAGAAATCAGGGTGGTCATCAGACAAATCAAGAGTGGAAAAGCAGTAGCACCTGAAAAACAGGCTGGAATCCGTATGAATGTATAGCCGTGTAAAGACCAACGCGCGACACTACGGATCATCGTTGAACAGTCAATTGAATGGAAATGGCCACTATATATGAACTTACTTAACTATGAGAAGACGTTTGACAATGTGGATCAGAGAACCTAATCGAACTTCCTTCGCACTACGGTGTGCCTGAAAAGATCGTCAACATCGCCAGGAATTCATACAACGGACTGTAAAGTCGTGGATGGAAGACAACTCACAGACTCATTCGAAGTGACGACCGGAGTCAGACAAGACTGATTACTG